CGCGCGCGTGTGCGTGTGTGTGTGTGCGTGTGTGGGCGCGCGTGTGTGTGTGTGTGTGGGCGCGCCTGTGCGTGTGTGTGTGTGTGTGGGCGCGGATGCTGCAGCGGGGAGATAACAGGCGGAGCGCGATGAAGTCTTAACAGGTGAAGCCATGATAGATGAGGCTTCACGACTGAATGCCTCGCGGACGGACGTCGGCCCTGAGATTATTCACTGCGCAGGTTGTTTATACGCTGCGCGTGTGCTCTCACTCTATGTCTCTAATTCTTCCATATTCCTGCCTAGCTCCTTCCCCACCTTCTCTCGCTCTTTAACACTTTCGCTCACTGGCCCGCTCTTTGTCGCCGTCGCTTTCTCACTCTTGATCTCTCTCTCTCTCCCTTGATCTCTCTCGCTCTCTCTCTCTCTCTATATATATATATATATAGCTCTCTCTCCCTCTCTCTCACTCTCTCTCATTCTCGCTAGCATCTCTCTCTCTACCTCACTCTCTCTTTCTCTCTCTCTCTCTCTCTCTCTCTCTCTCTCTCTCTCTATCTCTATCTATTGATAATTTTCTCTTTCTCATTCTGTCACTCTTCTCCTCTCTCTATATTTAATTCTCTCTCTTCTCCTCTCTCTATATTTAATTTTCTCTCTTCTCCTCTCTCTATATCTAATGTTTACTCTCTCTCTCTCTCTCTCTCTCTCTCTTCTCCTCTCTTTATATCTAATTTTCACTCACTCCCTATCTCTCTCTCTCTCTCTTCTCCTCTCTCTATATCTAATTTTCACTCTATCTCTTCTCCGCTCTCTATATATAATTTTCTCTCTCTCTCTCTCTCTCTCTCTCTCTCTTCTCCTCTCTCTATATCTAATTCTCTCTCGCTTTTTCGTTCTCGCTGCAGCCGCACACAGAGCAGCTTAACCGAAGCACGCCGGCGTTCCTACTAACGATCTCTGATGAATAGATAGCTTTCTATTGCGCTCGACTCGCAACCCGCTCAGCTGTGGTTATCATGCGCACACACGACGCGCCACATAGCGGCATTGAACCTGCGTTCACGTAAACCCGCTATACAGCCATTGCTACACGGCAAGCATCAATAGCACGCCGCCTGCTTTCATCGCGTAATTACTCGCATGCTGCGCAGTAAGGTGTTATAATCGCAGCCATTGCTATTACTCGTGTTTTTTTCGTCAACGTGACGTCGGGGGACGCGCGGGCGCCATTTTATATATAGGTAATGTTGGGCCACGTGTCAACGTAATACGACCAGGGGGAATTTCAGCGCTTTGTTTTTGTTCTCGCCAGCGACAAAATATAGCATCGGCGTAATTCACGGACGACGACCTAATTGAAATATAGGCTTCGAACGTGCTGTACTGCGTGTGACTGCTGTCGAGTATACGCCAGGTATAGACGCAGCGCTCGGTCGCAAGTATGCGCTGCAAATGCGAACGTAATACAGTCAACTCTCCAAACTCCCCAAGCCCTCAAAACCGAATTTCACGTTAAGCAAGACGAATTTTAAAGTCGCAACACCACATAAGACATGTAAGATGTAAGATGCCCCTTTTTAAACCGAGCTTTACAGAAAACGGGGCTAAATTGACGGTCCCGATGGTGGTCGCTATTGGGAGAGTTGACTGTGTTGCTAACGATAATGAACGTTGTTCGGCATCCGAAGTGCTTCCATTGTTCACCCGCACGCGCCGTTTCATATTTACCTTCGCGAGTAAGTAGCGATGAGTTTAATTACGTGTCGTGGCACAGCTCCGGCCATGCGATAACAAAATACGGGCGCGGCACTCGTAGCATTACCTTCCACGTCGCGTTGGTTTACTCTCTCGTCGCTGAATGCGAATGGTATGAATTTTCGCGTTCGCGATATTTTTTCTACAAGGGTTTGATGTACGAACACGTATGACTACGGTGTTATTCACAGAGCCAATTTTGTCAGCCATGACTCAACAAATACCAATTTACAAACAAGCAAACTGAAAAACATAACTAAAATGTGTTATCTAAACAATCAACAGCTAATAATACATTATACCTATTATTGGCTCTTGAAACAACCTATATTCGGGCATATACCGTCGAAATATAGCCACACCGACAGTATTAACCGTGTTGGTAGAGGGCACATGGTAATTAAACGCGGATTTCAACATACCTCATAGATTTCAATACGGCCATCTTTGTTGTCGTCGTAGGCCTCCATGAAGCACTGCTTCAGCTCTGCCAACATGGCGGCCGAAATTGCCTGCAAACGAAACCGAAAGTAACGCCTTAAAACGGTTAGCACGTGCGATGGACTATACTCATTTTTTTGCGGAACGAAAATACGAAGTTAATACTTACACTTACCAGTGTGCTATATATATATATATATATATATATATATATATATATATATATATATATATATATATATGTATAGCTGACGTGCGATAGCGCCCCTATATCAGACACTATACAAAGATAAAATAGCCTATTAAGAAACAGAAAACACAACAAATGAGAGAGAGAGAGAGCAAGAGAGAGAGAGAAGAGGGGGAAAGAGGGAAAGAGGGAGAGGGGGAGAGGGAGAGGTAGACGGAGACGGAGACGGAGACGAAGACGGAGAGAGAGAGAGAACGCGGATAGGGAGAACGGTGACGGGGAAGGGGTAGTTCAAAATGGCGGGCTGTTCGGGTTCCAAATGATCGGCAGCATTGATTTGATTGATGACGTCGTCATTAAATTTTTTCATCCCTTTCGTTCCGCGAAAATATTAAAAACGTATGAATTTTTTAAATAAAATCGCCATTTGACATCGTCTCTGAGCCGTACCTAGCAGTGAGGACAGTCCGCAGGTGGCTTTTTCTACCCTCTCCCCAATACAATGCAAAATGGGTTAGCTACGCTCATGTGCCTTCTCTCCGTTTACATTGTGGCTGTTTTTCGACATGCGTCTAAACAGAGGAATTGCTCCGACCTGTGATTGGAGGATAAAAATAGACCCCGCCCACTCCCGCCGCATACGCTATTAGTATTATGCTATGACCGGTAGGAACGTGTACTATAACTATCATATAGAGCGAACGATTTGAGGTACATTTCTATAAATTCTAGCTATTATAGACACATGTCTTAGCCTTAATCTCTGTGAATTTTGAGTATTGAAGCACGATTAGTCTAATTAATTAGCAAATATACACGCGCGGCTATGACCGGTGAAACGAAACATCACGAATTCTATTTTTATCCTCCAATCACAGGTCGGAGCAATTCCTCTGTTTAGACGCATGTGTTTTTCGGTGATCACTGTCTCCTCGCGACGCGTGTCGAGTAAATGGCTACACAACCGCGTTTCACATCACGTGTATTGACGCTTCTGTGTGAGACGTGATCACGAAACTTGCGTGCTCCAACATACAAAGGATGTATAGCGCTCGATATATGTTTAATGCGTAGTCATGGCGAAGAACAATTCGGCATTGATGCGTAAAGAAGGAGCGAGCGCGTGTGCGCGCACGCACGGCTAGGTCGCGCGACACGACTGCCCGCCCGCTGGTAAATTGCCAAAGCAATCTACGTGCATATTGCACGTGTGTAGTATGTTTCCGACGACGACGACAACGACGACGACGACGACGGCGACGACGACGGCGACGACGAATGCGACGACAACGACGACGACGGCGACGACAACGACGGCGACGACGACGACGACGGCGACGACGACGGCGGCGACGACGACGACGACGACGACGACGACGACGACGACGGCGACGACGACGGCGGCAACGACGACGACGACGACGACGACGACGACGATGACGACGACGACATACGCCATTATTTACGAGGCGAACTCGTGCGAGCAACAGTCTTCGAATAGCGTCAGCGAAAAATGCTAATGAAAAACTACGGAACTCTCTATAGTCGCGTCTCCCGGGGCGTCCAACATTCGCTGCCGACGTTCGGATCAAATAATATATTGCTTCGGGTAAATTAATGGCGGATAGACAGTTTGGCGCCGAACGGACATTTTTGTTCTGATTACCCATAGCTAATCTAACATGGGGTGATTGTGGTGCGGAGTATAGATGAAACCCGCGCTTTGTGAAACGTCGGCCAACGGCGATGCGTTGAGGAGCAATTGCAACGTGGTGCAACGCCGTAAAATATTGGTTTTCCCTTGCGGGTGGGGTGATAAAGAGATAGAGAAATAGAGTAGGAGAGCTAGCGGGAGAAAGATTGAACGAAAGACAGTGTGAGACTGTGTGTGAGAGAGAGAGAAAAGGATAGTGAGAGACTAGAAGACGGAGAAAGGGGAAAGGCGTGTGCGATAGAGAAAAGAAAGAGCCGACGAGAAAGCGAGAGTAACAGGTTGAGATAGAGATAGATAGAGAGAGAGAGAAAGGGGGCGAGATAGAGATAGAGAGAGGGGAGTATGGTGAGGAGGAGGAAGAAGAGATCGAGTAATATCATCTCTGACTCGATCGAATTATTCCTTACCGCGGAGAGAACGGCGTGATGGTTTCTGGTATAGTTTTTGATCGCGGGCAGTGACGTCGGCTGGATCATAACTACAGCGATAAATCATCGTCTTGTTCATCATCCATCACTATTATATCTAAGCTAATGCGTCACGCGGGACCACGCAAATTACGCGCCGGCCCGTTGAAACAGGTAAAGTGAAGATGGCGGCGAATAAAATACGAAAATGGCCGCTGCTAGAATTAAATCAACAGTGGCTACGTCCGCTTCTGCTGCAGTCATGCTGCTGGCCTCATCCTCCACAGACACAAGATACCTTCTACCTCGCCTACTAAATCTCGCCCCCCCCCACGCGCGCGCGCACGCACACATACATACATGCACACACACACACACACACACACACACACACACACACATACACGCGCGCGCGCGCGCTCACACGCACACGCACACTGTATGATAATGATATGTATGGTATGTATGTACTGTATGTATGTCATGTATTAATGCTATGTATGCTATGTATGTATGTATGTAGTGATTATGTATGTATGTATGCTATGTATGTATGTATGGTTATGTATGATCATGTAGGTATGTATGTATGTATGTATGCTATGTATGTATGTATGTATGCTATGTATGTATGTTATGTATGTATGTATGTATGTATGTATGTATGTCCTGTATGTATGTATGTATGTATGGTATGTATGTATGTATGTATGTACCGTGTCGGTGCCCGTGCGGTGCGTGGTTGCGTGCTGGGCGTGCGTGCGTGCGTGACGGTGCAGTGCGTGCGTGCGTGCGTGCCTCTGTGCGTGCGTGTGTGTGCTGTGGCAGGTGTGTGTTCGTTGGTGATGTTCGTGTGTGCTGTGTGTGATTGTGTGCTGTGTGTGTGTGTGTTGCTGTGTGTAGAGTGTGTGTGGTTGTGTGTGTGGTGCATCTGTGTATCGCGCGCGGTGTGTGTGGTGTGTGCTGTGTGGCTGTGTTGTGTGTGTGGTGTGTGTGTGCCCGGCGTACGTACGTTATTGCTGTGATCGACTAGCGACGCCTGGTGTGTGACGCACGATGCGAGAGCGTCATCAATACGCGGGGTTACGCCAGGTCGCGACACTGTTTGTTTTAGATCGATTACCACTTAGCGCGTGACAATTAACGTCGAGGCACCATGCAAACATCACTGAGCTGACCACTACGCCGATTACATTATTAATAATCAGCGTGCAATTTCAACATCTAGTATATGGACATACAGAGCGCATTGACGCGGCGCCAATATAGAAATCATACTGGTTGACGAATATACTGCGCGTAATAGTAATGGGAAAATATAGCGACGAGGTGCAGGGCAGTGGGGCGAACCTGACAGTGAAAGAATTTCATCTTCTATATTTCTTACAGCGGTAACGCAGTGGTAATCCAGTGTTAGCACAGTGGTTATAGCACTGCACTAACACAGCAGTAACACAGCAGTAATACAGCAGTAACACAACGTTAACATAGCAGTAACACAGCATTCACACAGCAGTAACACAACGTTAACACATCAGTAACACAGCATTCACACAGCATTCACACAGTATTCACACAGCATTCACACAGCCCGTCACAGCACAACGTTAAGCATCAGCCAGCCTAACACAGCATTCAAACGAGCCGAGTAGAAACAGCCACGTAAAACACGCAGCCGTACACCGCATTCACCACCAGTAACCAGCAGTCAACATGCCACCACAACATTAACACAGCAGTAACACAGCAGTAATACAACGTTAACACAGCATTAACACAACAGTATTACAACGTTAACACAGCAGTAACACAGCATTCACAAAGCAGTAACACAACGTTAACACAGCAGCAACACAGCAGTAACACAGCAGTAACCACGTATGAACACAGGCAGAACACGCCAGTAAACCCAGCAGTATACAACGTTAACACTGCAATGCTAACACAGCCTTCAGCACAGCATCAACAGCAGTACTTCACACAGGCATTCAACAACATAACAGCTGTTAACACAATCAGTCACCAGCCAGCTTAGACACCAGCAGTAATACAGCAGTAACACAACGTTACACAGCAGCAATTACACAGTGTTAACACAGCAGTAACACAGTGTTAACACAACAGTAACACAGCAGTAACACAGCAGTAATACAGCAGTAACACAACGTTACACAGCAGTAATTACACAGTGTTAACACAGCAGTAACAGCAGTAACACAACAGTAACACAGCAGTAACACAGCAGTAATACAACAGTAGCACACGA